AGTTGAAAGTCCGTGTTGCCCAGCGACAGCCCCAAAACATCACTGCTCTAGAGGAGATCTGCATGGAGGAATGGGCCAAAATACCAGCAACAGTGTGTGAAAACCATGTGAAGACTTACATAAAACGTTTGACCTGTGTCATTGCCAACAAAGGGTATATAACAAAATATTGAGAAACTTTTGTTATTGACCAAGTACTTATTTTCCACCATAATTTGCAAATAAATTCATTAAAATAAATAAATTCATGGGGCGGCGCAATGTGATTTTCTGGAGAAACAAATTCTCATTTTGTCTGTCATAGTTGACGTGTACCTATGATGAAAATTACAGGCCTCTCTCATCTTTTTAAGTGGGAGAACTTGCACAATTGGTGGCTGACTAAATACTTTTCCCCCCACTGTACACAGATTGCAAGCAACGAGGGGTGGAGAGCAGGTCTATTCTGTTACATTTTAAGGACCGGGCACTGCCAAATAAGGTAACAATAGGATATATGAGTTATTATGTGAGGGCTTATGTACCGAAGCCTTTAAAGATGTTATAAATTCCAGAGGTTTGGGCATGTGGCAACAGTCTGTAAAGAGAAAAAGAGGTGTGCCAGGTGTGGAGGAGAGCATGAGTATGCGAAGTGTTGGAGATGGTGTACAACCAAAGTGCTGCAACTATGGGGGTGCTCATAGTGTGGCTATAGTGGGTGTGAGGCTATGAAGAAGGCAGTGGAGGTGCAACAAGTGAGAGTGGAGAGAAGGGTGTCATATGCTGAGGCAGTGAGGCTGGTCCAGGAGAGAAGGGTATCATATGCTGAGGCAGTGAGGGTGGTCCAGGAGAGAAGGGTGTCATATGCTGAGGCAGTGAGGGTGGTCCAGGCAGGTGTCATATGCTGAGGCAGTGAGGGTGGTCCAGGAGAGAAGGGTGTCATATGCTGAGGCAGTGAGGGTGGTCCAGGAGAGAAGGGTGTCATATGCTGAGGCAGTGAGGGTGGTCCAGGAGAGAAGGGTGTCATATGCTGAGGCAGTGAGGGTGGTCCAGGAGAGAAGGGTGTCATATGCTGAGGCAGTGAGGGTGGTCCAGGCAGGTGTCATATGCTGAGGCAGTGAGGGTGGTCCAGGCAGGTGTCATATGCTGAGGCAGTGAGGGTGGTCCAGGCAGGTGTCATATGCTGAGGCAGTGAGGGTGGTCCAGGCAGGTGTCATATGCTGAGGCAGTGAGGGTGGTCCAGGCAGGTGTCATATGCTGAGGCAGTGAGGGTGGTCCAGGCAGGTGTCATATGCTGAGGCAGTGAGGGTGGTCCAGGCAGGTGTCATATGCTGAGGCAGTGAGGGTGGTCCAGGCAGGGGCGGCAGGTAGCTTAGTGGGTAAGAGCGTTGTGCCAGTAACCGAAAGGTCGCTGGTTCTAATCCCCGAGCCGACTAGGTGAAAAATCTGTCGATGTGCCCTTAAGCAAGGCACTTAACCCTAATTGCTCCTGTAAGTCGCTCTGGATAAGAGCGTCTGCTAAATGACTAAAATGTAAATGTAAATGTAAAGGTGTCATATGCTGAGGCAGTGAGGGTGGTCCAAGTCCAGGGAGGGGTTTTAGCGCCACCTGCTGGATCAGAAGTACTATTCACCTTGGCCACAGAGAGCCATCATCTTAAAACAACAACAAATCATCAAATAGGCAGTGGTTTCAAAACTCTAAGCACATTTTCAAGTAGAGCACACCAAATCATACGGTTACTTTTTCAACAAACGTAATCAGTGTGTCATCTAGAAATGCATGCTTCACATTGCAATACATGTTCTTATAAAGTAATTTCTTTCCACAATGCAATGCTCCAATGACTTTTGATGGGATATTTTTCATTTGTTAGAATGTATGCGACTGTTACTTAATCCGACTGCTCTGAATTCATAACCTCTTTATCTGTTTGGTGTTAACCTACAGATTTGTTTGTCTACTGCAGATTTGGAACACTACATCATGAAAATGTATGTTTGTGAAGTATAAAATTAGAGTAACTTGGGGGGAAAACGCCCCCCTTAAAGCAAATGTCTTTTTTCTGACTGCACCAAAAAAAACTATGTTTGGTAAGATTTAGATATGTGCATACTGGATATCCTCAGGGGAAAGAAATGGGACAAATTAATACTTTTTTTGGTCTTCAACAAAAACACAACCTTTACAAAAGGGCTGCGTTTGGCTCCAAAATGACCCCTGAAGATTAGCATGTTAACATTTTTCAGTAATTGACCCTAACATACTCCCTTTAAATTGTACTACTTTATTAAAAACGGATTGCAACTTTTCTCTCGAACCAAGTGCATTATTTATCTGTAGGCTCCCCTACTGGTATATGTATATACAATATGTTTCTAGATTTCATTACATTATATAGCCTATATAACTTTTACTCAATGACAAAATATTACATCAATGCACCTCAAAAATCGTTTTGCTGCAGTGACTTAAAAAGTAGAGATGACAGATTAAATTTTTTGTTGAGCAAGACTAGGGACATCCAGGGAAAATGTAGAATTTTTTTGCCGAAATAAAGGGGTTTCTGTGAGAATTACAGGAGGGGGGATGATATATACTGTGATGTACGAATGTTATGATGATGACTAATATGATTTTACTTCACAGTAAGTAGAGCAAAATGCTGATATTGACCAGATCAGAGACGTACGGTATGTAACAAATGCATCCCCTATACCGTAAACATGGATCCAAAAGGAAGTGGCTGGGGTCTATTGGATGAGGGGTGTACTGAACTGTGCCTTTGGCATGTCAGAATTCCCTCAAACAGGAAATATCCCTTGCCAACTGGGCAGAGGCGCTATACAGTTCACAAACGCATGCACCGAGCATTCCTTTGTCCATCCTGATTTGGCCAATTGTTTGGTTGGAGTTTTTCGGCCTGCCATGCGACTTTGACTATTGTAGATAATCAATTTGGATTGATGCCTTTTATTTCAAAGCCTCAGGCAAATAAAACGTGCAATACGTAGCTTTTAGACGGGTTAGTTAACAACATACATGGTGAGAAATGCGCATATATAATAAGCCTTTTAGCAGACGCTTTTATCCAAAGCGACATACAGTCATGTGCACATTCATTTTTACGTCCCGGGGATCGAACCCACTACCCTGGCGTTACAAGCGCCATGCTCTACCAATTGAGCTACAATTGAGGACCACGAATAAATATATCAATTGTGCCTTTTTGATGGAAATATGGAGGTGGGATTTTGGAGATCAGGTCATAATTTACCCGCGCTCTTTGCGAATAAGACGGGCCAACTGGATGTCCTATGGCACGATGGTCACCCTCTTGGCGTGGATGGCACACAGTTTGGTGTCCTCGAACAGACCGACCAGGTAAGTCTCGCTAGCCTCATGCCTCATGCAGGGCCATCACGGCGGAGCTCTGGAAGCACAGGTCGGTCTTGAAGAACTGGGCGATTTTTCTCCCCAGGCGCTGGAAGGGCACATTGCGGATGATTAGCTCAGTGGAGCTTTGGTAACGACGGATCTCTCTGAGACACGGTGCCGGGCCTGTAACGGGGAGGCTCTCCTGCGCGCAGCCTTGGCGGCGAGCTGCATCCTGTAGGCTTTGCCACGGGTGGATTTGCGAGCGGTTTGCTTGGTTCTGGCCATGGCGCTAGCTTCCTTCTTAGACAGTCGGAGTATAGCCTCGAAATGCCCATGTGAAATGTATAAGCCGGCAGTGGCATCTGCTGATTGGACACCATCTCCCCACCACCCCGATTGGCCCGTTGCGGAGGCCTCCTTTGTCGGCTATCGGAAGGGCTGCTTTGCTTCAAAACAGTACACTGCGCGCCCAAAACAATACACTTTGCGTGCTCCCGCAATAATACACTGCACGCCCAAAACAAAAGTACACTGCCGGCCTTTACGCGCAATAATAGTCGCCAAAGTCAAGAGTGAAATCTTATGTTCTAATCTAATGCTAGCCTGCTATGGCAAACGTTGCCAATAGTCCACTGCGCGCAGGCATTAGGACACTGCCGCGCGATAATATTCGCCAAAGTCAAGAGTGAAATCTTATGTTCTAATCTAATGCCAGCCTGCTATGGCAAACGATGCCAATAGTCCACTGCGCGCAGGCATTAGGACACTGCCGCGCGATAATATTCGCCAAAGTCAAGAGTAAAATATTTTGTTCTAATCACCACATGTTCAGTAATGGCATTTCCCCCCTTTATTCAAATTACAACCTCTCACTTTCAGTTATTTGAAATGAAATCATCTCTCAAATATCACTATATCTAAAACAAGCCATAGAAAGTTGGTTGCAATTTCAATTTAATCATCCAGAAACAACAGAACAAACTCAAATGAGGATGAAGGGAGAGGAGAAGAAGTGGGGCCAGCCGCTCGGGAGAGGTGGAAGGGGGGTTTAGGATTATTGTAGAGGCGTTGGGAGGAAGGTGTGAGGGTGTGTTTTTGTGGCTGGGTAAAAAGGGGAGGGAAGTTGCTCCCCTGATGTTTATTTAGTCTTATTGTTTGAGGCGGTATATAAGATGTGAATTTTCTGTTTTTTTTTGTAGTCCTATGTGGCTCAGTGGGTAGAGCGTGGCGCTTGCAACACCATGGTAGCGGGTTCGGTCCCCGGGGCCGACCACGTAAAATGTAAGCATGCATGACGGTAAGTAAAGCGTCTGCTAAATGGCATAGTATTTTGATTATTATTGTTGGGATATGCTTGGGTCGGTATATATGATGTGAATTTTTCTTGATTTTTCGTAGTCCTATGTGGCTCAGTGGGTAGAGCTTGGCGCTTGTAACACCAGGGTAGTGGGTTCGGTCCCTGGGGCCGCCCACATGTAAAATGTATGCAAGCATGACGGTATGTACAGGGTCTGCTAAATTGCATAGTGTTTTATTATTATGATGGGGTTGTTGGTTGGTTGGTTAATAGTGATGGGGTGGTGGAAAGAGGAGGGTGAGAGGATACAGGAGTGAGTATGGTGTGGCGTGATGCAAATATTGTATGGAAATGAAATGATTTATGATGTATGGTTTTTGTACGATTTTAATAAAAACCCTTAAATCAGAACCAAGCAAACCGCTCGCAAATCCACCAGGTGGCAAAGCCCCCAGGAAGCAGCTCGCCACTAAGGCTGCTCGCAAGAGCGCCCCGGCCACCGGCGGTGTGACGAAGCCTCACCGTTACAGGCCCGGCACCGTGGCTCTGAGAGAGATCCGTCGTTACCAGAAGTCCACTGAGCTGCTCATCCGCAAGCAGCCCTTCCAGCGCCTGGTCAGAAAAATCGCCCAGGACTTCAAGACCGACCTGCGCTTCCAGAGCTCCGCCGTGATGGCCCTGCAGGAGGCTAGCAAGGCTTACCTGGTCGGCCTGTTCGAGGACACCAACCTGTGCGCCATCCACGCCAAGCTGGTGACCATCATGCCCAAGGACATCCAGCTGGCCCGCCGTATTCGCGGAGAGCGCGCATAAATGAGGATGACCTGATCTCCAAAATCCCCCAAAGGCTCTTTTAAGAGCCACCTCCATATTTCCATCAAAAAGGCACAATTGTTCCATGTATACACGCACCTCTACATTAACCACCATGTATGTTGTTCACTAACATGTCTAAAAGCTACGTATTCTACCTTTTAGTTGCCTGAATTCTAGCTTCAATGTTTGTGTGTGTGTATATACAACCATCTGGCATCATCCACTTCCTTTGAACTATAGTAGCACAGTAAAATGCTTTACAAACGAGGGGGAAAAGAAACAAGTGATAATATAGGCCGAATAGTAACAACATTTGTGTTCAGATGAATAATTGACACTATTAGTTGTGTGTAATAATAGCCTTGCATGCAGTCCAGAAAAAACATTGCATGCCAACTGACTTTGAAAGTCCCATGTTGCAGTGCTGCTGAGAGACTCATGCAGAGGCCAAAACTTTACAGTGGAGCACGGAGGCCATCTTGTGGTTTAACTCGGGTACTGCCCATATCTGCGCACATCATGGGGAGTCCCTTTTAGTATTAGCTCTTTAGCCCAGCGTTTCCCAAACGCGGTCCTGGGGTCCCCAAGGGGTGCACGTTTTGCCCTAGCACTCCACAGCTGATTCTAATACTCCCAGCTTGATGATGATGAGTTGATTATTTGAATCAGCTGTGTAGTGCTAGGGCAAAAACTCCCAAAACGTGCCCCGAGTTTGGGAAACCCTGCTTTAGGCTAATACTAGCCTATTAGGATGACTTGGTTTGATCGCTTTAATGCCAACTGCTGAACTCTGGTTCACTAATTAGTTGTCCCAGGTGACCATTATGAATCCAATAGCAAAACAAATGTTTCTAAATTGCTCTTTGAATGTAACATGCTACAGTCTGTCAATTACACTGTGGAAATCACATTTCCATCATTCTTATCCCATGTCATCATTGAAGACGTGTCACAATCATTGACGGAAAAAGTCCATGTATTCATCAGATAATTACAACATAGATGTCCTGTAATCAAATGACACAAATGGAATGAATGAAACAAACCGAACGTTTAGCAGGCACTAGTTTGCATCAAGCCTGTCTTGAGCATTTTGACATAGGTGTGGATTTGATGTCATTGCATGCCTCATCCGTGGCCTGGAGGAGGGTGGCACGCTCATGGGGATGGCAATCACACACACCTTCCACCTGTATTGCATTTCACAGTATTGTGTGGCTCAGGTATTCAGCGCATGTCACTAGCAACACCATAGTTGTGGGTTGGATCCCCACTGGGGTCACATGCTAAAAGTTATGGACTCACTGTTGTCACTTGGGATAAAAGCGCCAGCTAAATCAAAGCTATAGGATATAAAGGTAGGGCATTGGCCAATGCCATTTCCGAAAAGCAGTGTGAACCCCCCCGAAGGAGAAGTTGACTATTCAAATAGAGCTACCCAAACATTTATTGGATGTTGCAAAGTTTTGCTTTCACCCATGGTTCCTATAGGGAGTCAAAAAAGGGCAGGAAACAATGGGTTCTCAGCAATATTTCACCAACAACCAATCACTATTCAAGCATAGACATTAGGATCATCAACAAATATTCCTAAGTCATACTACAAAAGGGTTGTAACGAAATGGATTTGTCTGTTCAATGCAAGTTCAACGTCAAAGAAAAAGTGCATCACCACAACAAACGTGTCTTTAGATACACTGTAAAAAATTACTTTGTGGAATGTACTCAAACTATTACAGTCAACAAAAGCACACGTCATATTATTGATTAGATATTTTTGCTTGTTTTTATGAGTAGATAAGCTTGAGTAAGTTGTTTAGATGTGGTCCAATACATTGAGTAAAGATGATAGAAGTAAAAATTATTATATTACGTTGATTCAATTCAAATAGATCCATGACATTGTGTTCTTTTACCTGAATGATTCATCCTATTATGTACTCAATGTTACATGATGTATTCATTTAGACCAACTCAGAAAAGGTTCACATTTTTACTTTGGATTCACTCAATCAGATCCCTTAAGAGAAAAGGTATCAGGACACCGGGAATCCATTTATTTAAACATCAACGGTTTGCAAAACATCTGTTATTATGAGTTGACAAATTACGGAATTGCAAACAACACTGCAGGTAAGTCCTGATTGCTATAGGTAGGCAAAACCGTAGAAATAGGACCTAGAACACTAACTAGTATAGGATCTCTGTGGGCAGAACATTTACTTACGAGAGATAAAATGGAGCTTCAACCCCATAGACGTCATGGGGAACAAAATATTCTCATAGTAACCATGGATAACTACTGAAATGGAGGCTCAAATAGCTTGTGTTTGCACTGTGGGATATTTTTCAAACAACAATGTTGCCTACAAGGCCAAAATAATTAAAGACGTGACAACCCCAATAATCAAAACACATTTACTCGTTTGTTCCTATAACATTTATCTGTTCACGAGCACTGTTGATGGATGCCACCTATATTACTTTGGTCATTTTTGCTTTAACCCATGAATGTTGTAGTTGCGCCTTTTTTCAACAGTTCCCAATAGAAATCTGTTTAAAATAAACTACAAGGTTTTGCAGTAGACTTTTGCAAATTGTTTCCCCGGCGTGATTGATTGATTTGCAAATATTCGGTGTGTGATTGCAATGAGCATTGCCAATGTATGCTTGCAATGCAAGCAAATATGTTATGGAAATATGGAAATGGAAATAATGCAATGAAATGATTATGATGTTGTATGGTTTTGTTACTATTTTAATTATAAAAACCCGTAAATCAAACCAAGCAAACCGCTCGCAAATCCACAGGTGGCCAGCCCCCCCCCCCCAGCAGGGAAGCAGCTCGACAATAGGCTGGCTCGCAAGAAGAGCGCCACGGCCACCGGCGGTCTTTTTTTTTTTTTTTTTGTGACGATAGGCCTCACCGTACAGGCCCGGCACCGTGGGCTCTGAGAGAGACGTCGTTTATTACAGAGTCCCACTGAGCTGCCTCATCCGCAAGCAGCCTTCCATCGCCTGGTCAGAAAAACGCACAGGCTCAGACGACCTGCGGCTTCCAGAGCTCCCTTTGATGGCCCTGCAGGAGGTGCAAGGCTACCTGGTGGGCCTGCGAGGACACAACCGTGCGCCATCCACGCCAAGTGGTGCCCATATCCCCAAGGAATCCAGCTGGCCCGCCGTATTGCGGGAGCGGCAAAAAAAGGGATGCCCGATCCCCAAAAAACCCCCAAAGGCTTTTTTAAGAGCCACCCCTTTTTTCCCATCAAAAAGGACAATGTTCCATGTATACCGCATCTACATTAACCACCAGGTAGTTGTTACTAACATGCCCAAAAGTAGTATTTCCCTTTTATTTGCTGATTCTAGCTTAAATGTTTGTGGGTTGTTTTTAAAAAACCCATTTGGCTTTACCACTTCCTTTAACTATAGTGACAGAAAAAATGTTTTTACAAACGAGGGGGAAAAGAAACAAGTGATAATATGGCCCGAATAGTAAAAAACTTTGTGTTCAGATGAAAAATTTGACCATTAGTGGTGTAAAAAAATAGCTTGCATGCGTCCAGAAAAAAACATTGCATGCCAACTGACTTTGAAAGTCCCATGTTGCAGTGCTGCTGAGAGACTCATGCAGAGGCCAAAACTTTACAGTGGAGCACGGAGGCCATCTTGTGGTTTAACTCGGGTACTGCCCATATCTGCGCACATCATGGGGAGTCCCTTTTAGTATTAGCTCTTTAGCCCAGCGTTTCCCAAACGCGGGTCCTGGGGTCCCCAAGGGGTGCACGTTTTGCCCTAGCACTCCACAGCTGATTCTAATACTCCCAGCTTGATGATGATGAGTTGATTATTTGAATCAGCTGTGTAGTGCTAGGGCAAAAAAACTCCCAAAACGTGCCCCGAGTTTGGGAAACCCTGCTTTAGGCTAATACTAGCCTATTAGGATGACTTGGTTTGATCGCTTTAATGCCAACTGCTGAACTCTGGTTCACTAATTAGTTGTCCCAGGTGACCATTATGAATCCAATAGCAAAACAAATGTTTCTAAATTGCTCTTTGAATGTAACATGCTACAGTCTGTCAATTACACTGTGGAAATCACATTTCCATCATTCTTATCCCATGTCATCATTGAAGACGTGTCACAATCATTGACGGAAAAAGTCCATGTATTCATCAGATAATTACAACATAGATGTCCTGTAATCAAATGACACAATGGAATGAATGAAACAAACCGAACGTTTAGCAGGCACTAGTTTGCATCAAGCCTGTCTTGAGCATTTTGACATAGGTGTGGATTTGATGTCATTGCATGCCTCATCCGTGGCCTGGAGGAGGGTGGCACGCTCATGGGGATGGCAATCACACACACCTTCCACCTGTATTGCATTTCACAGTATTGTGTGGCTCAGGTATTCAGCGCATGTCACTAGCAACACCATAGTTGTGGGTTGGATCCCCACTGGGGTCACATGCTAAAAGTTATGGACTCATGTTGTCACTTGGGATAAAAGCGCCAGCTAAATCAAAGCTATAGGATATAAAGGTAGGGCATTGGCCAATGCCATTTCCGAAAAGCAGTGTGAACCCCCCCGAAGGAGAAGTTGACTATTCAAATAGAGCTACCCAAACATTTATTGGATGTTGCAAAGTTTTGCTTTCACCCATGGTTCCTATAGGGAGTCAAAAAAGGGCAGGAAACAATGGGTTCTCAGCAATATTTCACCAACAACCAATCACTATTCAAGCATAGACATTAGGATCATCAACAAATATTCCTAAGTCATACTACAAAAGGGTTGTAACGAAATGGATTTGTCTGTTCAATGCAAGTTCAACGTCAAAGAAAAAGTGCATCACCACAACAAACGTGTCTTTAGATACACTGTAAAAAATTACTTTGTGGAATGTACTCAAACTATTACAGTCAACAAAAGCACACGTCATATTATTGATTAGATATTTTTGCTTGTTTTTATGAGTAGATAAGCTTGAGTAAGTTGTTTAGATGTGGTCCAATACATTGAGTAAAGATGATAGAAGTAAAAATTATTATATTACGTTGATTCAATTCAAATAGATCCATGACATTGTGTTCTTTTACCTGAATGATTCATCCTATTATGTACTCAATGTTACATGATGTATTCATTTAGACCAACTCAGAAAAGGTTCACATTTTTACTTTGGATTCACTCAATCAGATCCCTTAAGAGAAAAGGTATCAGGACACCGGGAATCCATTTATTTAAACATCAACGGTTTGCAAAACATCTGTTATTATGAGTTGACAAATTACGGAATTGCAAACAACACTGCAGGTAAGTCCTGATTGCTATAGGTAGGCAAAACCGTAGAAATAGGACCTAGAACACTAACTAGTATAGGATCTCTGTGGGCAGAACATTTACTTACGAGAGATAAAATGGAGCTTCAACCCCATAGACGTCATGGGGAACAAAATATTCTCATAGTAACCATGGATAACTACTGAAATGGAGGCTCAAATAGCTTGTGTTTGCACTGTGGGATATTTTTCAAACAACAATGTTGCCTACAAGGCCAAAATAATTAAAGACGTGACAACCCCAATAATCAAAACACATTTACTCGTTTGTTCCTATAACATTTATCTGTTCACGAGCACTGTTGATGGATGCCACCTATATTACTTTGGTCATTTTTGCTTTAACCCATGAATGTTGTAGTTGCGCCTTTTTTCAACAGTTCCCAATAGAAATCTGTTTAAAATAAACTACAAGGTTTTGCAGTAGACCATCAGTGATGCAGGTAGCATTGTGATGTCATAACAACCATACTGTGCAGACAGACCCTGGTACCACACCTGCTGCTCTTTCAACCTCTAAATGGCCACCTATGAAAAGCCAAGTGACATTTACTCCTGATGTACTGACTGACCTGTTGCAACCTCTACAACCACTGTGCTTATTATTTGACCCTGCTGGTCATCTATGAATGTTTTAACATCTTGGAGAAAAATGTGCCCTTAATGGCCACGTACTGTTATAATCTCCACCCGGAACAGGCAGAAGGGCACCGGCCACCCCTCAGAGCCTGGTTGTTCTCTAGGTTTGTGCCTTTCTAGGGAGTTTTTCCTAGCCACCGCACTTCTACATCTGCATCGCTTGCTGTGTGGGGTTTTAGGCTGGGTTTCTGTATAGCACTTTGTGACATATTTTGATGTAAAAAGGGCTTTATAAATCCACCTCATTGATTGATTGATGGTAGAATTGCCAAAATACCAGTGGTGAAAGGTGTGTACCTTGATGAAACCTCAAAATGGTACAACGGATTCAAAAATCGGAATTTCAAACCGCAACTGTATGGGAACAAAATAGACATTACAGTTTACAATGACATCCTTCATTAAAAACACCTATTTGGTATCTCTTGTATACAAAAACACAATGGAAAATACTGTGGCAGTGACCCTTTAAAACACACCTTGCAGAATAAACGTGTCTTCCTTACCCTCTAACTTCTTTAGCCTAGATAACCGCCACGGGCCCATCGGGGTCGGGGTCCCAGACCGCAATGTGCTCGAGCCCCGCCTCTCGGTGACCATCCCCCAGTAGGCAGAGGTTGGTCCCAGCACAGATTCTGTGCCCCAGGCGGCTTCACCAACAACAAGCGGGCCTGTGGTAGAGGACACCGTTCCTGACCTGCTACCAGAAAAAATGAAGGGAGAGAAGAGTTCCAAAGGCACCTCAGCGTTTAACTACGAAGGTGTTACAAAGTAACCCTGACATTCAGTCTATGACAATTGTCCTCTGGCCTGTCATTCTGCTTAAGACAGTAATTTGTTCTTGAGGGCTGTCACTCGCCACGGCACCCTCCTTGTTGATCGCATAGATTTGCTTTACATGTTGCGCAAGGTCTTGCAGGAAATGACCCCCCTCAGCTTCCTGTAAAATAAATAACACACAAATACAATGTGGGGAACACATTTTATTCCACCTGGATTACGACATGCCCTTAATTGTTATCAGATTGCAGTGAACATTCTCTCCCTCTCTCACACACACACACACACACACACACGTGATCGAATATTCATGGGTGAAAATACTTTATTGGCCCCACATGGTAGTCTTTAATGAGGCCACCTCCAGTAAAGCTGAACAATAATTCCTCACTGAACTCACATCATGACCCTGATATAGAATAAAATCACTGATCTCATTGGATTCAATCTGTGCATGTGAAATCTATGAAATCACAGATCCAAGTATCCTATATTAGCAAAAGGTGTACAATGCTTGGGTAGCACAGCGGGGCCTGTGGCTTAAATTGCAGCACCGAACATCAGCCAGATAAATACAAAACAATGCATTTTTCCTGAGGATACTTTACCATCCAGCATGACCCGCAATCTGTCTCCAACCTTGCCTCAAGATGCTTTGTTGTGAGCCTGTGGAATTGTTCATTGATCTGAAAGACAAATACTGAAATATCATCAAGCAAGGCTCATAACAAAGAGGTTTGTCATAGTAAAGACATCATTTGGCATTTTATTTTTTTGCCTGCTGACTCACCTGAGAGGCTTCTAAACAGAGCAGGCCATCTGTCTTTCATGTCTTCGACACTGGTTGATGACTTCCTGTCTTTTGCCGTGCAAATGTCTTGGTCATATTTCCTGGAATCACCCTTGTGTGGTCCTTCTTTGCATGTTACTAATTCTATTCTCTGAGCGGCCACATCTGTTAAAAGAAGAATCTAGACGATTAACCATTACCATTAACCCATTTTATCAAGACCCTGCAACTACTACAAGTAGCTACGACAAGTGACAAAATGGATTATTTCCATAGCCATTACAGCAGCTAGCTTTTAGCTAACGTACGTTAGCAATCAACGGCTGACACACGATTGATACGCTACTAAATAGCTCGCGATAATACACATGGGCAGACAAACCTAAATTAGCTAACGTTAGCTTAGCTTAGAAAGTAACCTAGCTAGCACAAGCGCTCTTATGTTAGCTAGCTACTTACTGGCTAAAGGTAGTATGACAAAAAAAAGAAGACGAGGAAACGAAGCGTGGAACCCCGTATTCTCGGCATATTCAACAGCGTTTAAAAAATGCATTACCTTCAACAGTGTTATCTTGTGATCAACCATCAATGTTATGTGATTATTGGTGGTGTGAAAATGTTAGCTAACGGGTTAGCAATTAGCAAGTTTGACATTTCAGTGGAAATACTACTATTATCAGCTTTTTGATAAGCAGTTTAGCAAACAAATACGTCCCATACTATCGGCATACGGCCCCCAGTTATTGGCTACCTTACTATTCTGTTCAATTACAAGATATAGCCGCTTAAATTCGTTAAAAAAAAGAGACACCCACCACGTACCGGAAGTGTTTGACTAGTTGGCTAGCCTTCCGGTAAAAAATAATGACTTGCCTGTCAACTTTTCATTGCGTAGCCCGGTGCGCCCTCTTGTGGACGATAAACAAATGGTTCTTCACCAACATATTCAGTGTTGTAACCAAATAATGTCTCATCATTTGTTTGACAGATTCATCTTATGTTTTGAGAAAGTAGATAACCGTTGAATTCTAAAATATGAGTATTAATAATTTACATCAAATAAAACTTTAATTTCAGTTATGTTCATTGACATAAACAATGAAAACAATGTTGGAGTTTGTTGCAGAGATGCACTTGGAAACTAAAGGAAGAAATACACAAGAGTGGTTCAATAAATAAATAAATATATATATATATATATATATATATATATATTTATATATATATATATATATATATATATACATATATACATACATACATACATACATACATACATATATATATATATATATATATATATATATATATATATATATATATATATATATATTTTAGACATTTATGTTTTTGTACAAATAAATAACTTAATATGACCACAAACAAAACAAACAATAACATCTCGACCTCCATCCTTATATTGTCACAAAAATCACAATAATAATCCAGCTCCACCGCTACCTCTTGATCCCACTGCACACACCTGCAGTGGAACCAGTGCAGACAGAAGTCACAGCACAACCATGGCACCTCGGATCTACACTCCTGAGAGGAGCTTGCAGGCGGATCACGCTCCCCGCAGCGAGCACAGCAGGTGGTCTTCTTTTATAAAAGAGAGAGAGAAAAACAGATGAAGTACCTGAGAGTGGTGCCATGGGTGGCGTGACCGGTGGTGCTTTTCTCTTCCTTTTCTGTGCTGCAGTTTGAGAAAAAGTATTGTTAGACAGAGCATGTTTCATGAAAACCTTTTCAACTTTTTTACATCAATAGGAAGCTGCAGAGGTTTTGGAGGAGGTGGAGATGACTTGAGGGCTGGTGCTATGTACTGTAGATATGTAAAGATAGATTATTTTGTTTACATTGCTCTTTTATAAAACAGAAAACAAACAGTCATTTGTTCGTAATTTAACATGTGTTTACCTGTGGAGGTGGCAGTATTCAAATTGCAGGGGGCCAGGGACACCAGACGAGGCTGCTATGGTGGTGTGACCAGGGGAGACTGAGGAGGCAGCTGGTCCAGAGGAGGCCGTGTTGGCGGTGACAGACAGGGTGGGTGGTGTGCATCGTGGTGGTGATGGACAAAACCGCCGACGATGGCTTGGAGGAGCTGGTGTTTGCAATGGTGGGGTTGAGGGGCCGACGACGGTGTGGCCGGGAGAGTAGGCACGTGGCCTTCTGCAGCTGGGGACTGCGGCGGCTCCTACAGGTGTTGCACACTGGGAGGCACTGGCAGTGGTGATACAGCTGTCAGGAGTGGTTCCAGCAGGGGTCCTGCAGAGGCGATGGCGCCAATGGTCTCATCCAGGCAGCCCTCTCCTGTGCCCTCTGTGTTCTGAGGGCTGCCCAACGCTCTTTCTCCTCTGCCCTCTCCTTCTCACCCTCTCCTGCCACCGGCGCGTGTATTCCTTCCCGGTGAGGCACGTGGCGACCACAGCGACTCTTCTGTATCGGTCCAGCCGATACTTCAGGACAGTAAGGATGTGCCCCAGGTCCTTCGCTATCAGCCCACCCTCTATTAGGGGGTGCTCTTCTAGAGCTAGGCCTGGGACTGGAGCAGGGACTGGGACTGGAGATGGGGCTTAGGGTCCTCCAGCGGTCGCTGGGGAGGAGGCGCTGACGGATGGTACAGTGCTGCTGGTTCCAGGAGAGGCGGTGGTGGGACTCAGTAGGGACCGAGACAACATTAAACAGGACCCTTCAATGGCTGAAGGGTCAAGAAGGGAAGAGGGCACACTTCTTAAACCCTTCCACCACATAGCGCATGTCCTTGCATCGCTGGTACGAGTAGCGGAATACTCTGGCAAATTCTGATTTGTTTACCATGTAGGAGTGGTCAAAATGGCTAAGGTCTCCAGCTACCTCGGAGAACTCAGCCTTTAAAGGGCCAAAGTATGCCACGTCCAGCGGCTGCAGGACACGGGTGCAGTGTGGTGGAAGACAAAGAAGTATAACCCCTTCCCTTAGTGCCGCCGCGAGCACCTCCGGGTCCATGTGGCTCTTGTGCCCATCGAAGAGGAGAAGGAGAGGGCGCTCCTTCACTGCATGCTTAAAGAAGTGCAGAAACCACTTCCTGAACAGGTCCCCGTCAATGTAGCCACTGCTAGCCAAGGCTTGGGGGGGGGGGGCTCCCAGTGTGTAGTGGCCACCGGGGAAACGTCCTCCCCAGCTGCGTTGAAGCAGGCCAGCACTGTGATGTGCTCCTTGGTCCCAGGAGCCTGCTGGTACACGTGTTTTGTGCCCCGGGGAGCCAGCACTTTGTGCCTGCTCTGCTCGCTACGAAACCCAGACTCATCGCAGTTATAGATTTGTCTGGGTTTCTCCCTCAACCCACTCTCCTCCAAGTGCTTCTCATAAGAAGCGAAGAAGGTGTCCGTCGTCGGACGTGTGGCACACTCAGCACTCCCCCTGTCCTGGGTGTCTGGCCTCCTCATGCTCAGGATAATGTGCCTCCTCCTGAACATTTCCCACCACCGCTTCCCCAGTGGCGGCATTGTTTCCCCTGGGTGCCGAAACCTACAATAGAATAGAATAGAATATATACAGTGGGGGAAAAAAGTATTTAGTCAGCCATCAATTGTGCAAGTTCTCCCACTTAAAAAGATGAGAGGCCTGTAATTTTCATCATAGGTACATGTCAACTATGACAGACAAAATGAGAAAAAGAATTCCAGAAAATCACATTGTAGGATTGTTAATGAATTTATTTGCAAATTATGGTGGAAAACAAGTATTTGGTCAATTACAAAAGTTACTCAATACTTTGTTATATACCCTTTGTTGGCAATGACACAGGTCAAACGTCTGGCACTGCAGGATTTGAGTCCCTGGCGGCGTAGTGTGTTACTGATGGTAGGCTTTGTTACTTTGGTCCCAGCTCTCTGCAGGTCATTCACTAGGTCCCCCCGTGTGGTTCTGGGATTTTTGCTCACCGTTCTTGTGATCATTTTGACCCCACGGGGTGAGATCTTGCGTGGAGCCCCAGATCGAGGGAGATTATCAGTGGTCTTGTATGTCTTCCATTTCATAATAATTGCTCCCAC